GTTTGTATACATTGAGGTTCACAGGCAGGTTGACATATAGGGATACACTGTGCTTGTGTTGTTGGAGCAGCTGTTGGCATTGGAGCAGCAGTCACCTGAGTGGGTGCTGAAGTCTGCGAGATTTGGAATTGCATCGTGCAACTAGGTTGACAAGCTGGCATACAGGGTTGTATACACTGTTGTTGTACTGGAGCAGATGTTGGCGATGCAGCAGGTTGCTGCGCTTGGATACAGCTCAGTTCACAGGCTGGTTGGCAGGCAGGAGTACACTGAAGCGAGAGAACTTTCGGCATAGACACTGATGGAGCTGGAAGTAATCCAGGGGTTTGGGTGAATGCAGAATGTGGAGTGGATATATATGAAGAAGTAGCTGAGGATTGTGCTGTAAGCGTCTGTGCTTGTATACATGATTGTAGGCATTCGGGAAGACACACTGGGATGCACTGTCCAACATTAGGAACTGCAGAGCTTGGAGCCGGCACCTGTTGAGAGGTTCTATGTGCCTGAATACATTCTGTTTCACATGAAGGTTGACAGGCCGGAGGACATAGTATGAGGTTAATATTTATCTGTAGTGGTGCTGATGTGGAGGGTGCAATATTGGGAATAAACATAACTGATTGTATACACTCCTGGGAACATGTCGGCATACATGTCGGGATGCAAGTGGTTTGCTGTCCGGTAACTGGGGGCGTTGGTAGTGTTGGGTATGAAGGAGTAGTAGTGGTGATTGTGAGAGGTCGTGGGGTAGTGGTGATGATGATGGGAGGTGGTGGGGTAGTGGTGGCGGCGGTGGTGGAAGGTGACATATCGGTTGGTGCAGTAATTTCTGGATTGGTACAGGTGATAAGACAAGCTGGCATACATGGCGGAATGCATGTTGGTTGTGTCAGCTGCGATAACTCCTGATCTTGCAAATCGACACCGGCGCAACGCAGGCGACACACCGTATCGCAAGAGGCGGAGCACATTGGCTCTTGTTCTGGACGACAAAGCTGTTGACATTGATCCGTGCAGCGTTTCACACAAGGATTTGG